CGGTGGAATGGGAACCGGACTGACGCTCCCCAGAATAGAAGGAGCCAGGACCATAAGGCCCTGTGTTAAAAAAAAAAAAAAAAAAAAAAAAAAAAAAAAACCGACAATGAAGTACTGCACAGGACTGATTGCGAGGACACTGTGAAGACGAAACTCAAATTAAGCGTACTGAATTGAACCCTCATATACCAGCATGGAATTGGTGACAAAGCACAGAGCTGTAATGACAAAGCATTGATCATACATGCACGAGAGATTGGCAACATTGAAGTCCCTTAGTGAAGAAATCCACCACCTGGCCTTCAGTCAATCAGAACAACGGAAGTAATAATAATGCTCTGCACTAAATGTCTGTCTTTTCCAACGCCGACCAACCAGGGTGATAAGAGGCCCTACATATTAGCTGTGGCATGCACAGGACTCCCACACGGGCACTGCGGGGGGTGAATGTGATTTCGGCCTCCATGGTCATGTGTGTTGTCTTGAGCAGCTGTAGGGCTGCTTTACATATTCGGGGCATGTTTCACTCTTTCAGGCAGCATGAGTTATTTTGTCTGTTCTTTTTTTTTTCGTTTTTTTCCTTAGAAAAAAAATGAAAGGAAGAAAAATTTTGGACCATTTCTCGATTTATGCGTGTCATCCTTATCGTTCCAATTTTAACGGATGTCCCGAAGGACTATTTTGTCCGTTCTATTTGTTTCTAGTACTTTATTTTTTCGTGTGTTCTGAGTTTTCAGCTTCTCCGTTTTCTGTCTTCTTCCGATGTCTGGCATGTTTTTCAAAAGAAAAAGATTTACGGGCCCTTTGCGGTCCTTGTCACGCCCTTGTGACCTCAAGTAATAATAATGTTGATAGTGTCTTTATCATCATCATCATCATCATCATAGGTAACCCGGTATCATCTCATCGTCTCCGCCTCATGACACCCTCGTGCCTCGAGAGCAGGTTAACAAAGGCGCAAAATTTCAGCGTGTTTTGAAAACGGAAAGGCCTTTTTAATGGGTGCCTCCCTCTCCGCATTCAGGGATGGAAATGATGGGAGAACAGCATTTGTGTGTGCAGGGACCCTTGCAAAGGAGCCCCATTTTTGGAATTATAAAAGTTGTTTATCAACCTACTTTAAGTACAGAAATGGGCACTCTTCAAGAAAGAATTACTTCGACAAAAGAAGGCTCTATTACCTCTATTCAAGCAGTTCCTCGCCCCGCCCCTCCCCCCATCCTCCTGTGCCCCCTTGACTCCAAGATGGCTGAAAGCATTGGGATAATAGGATTTTCTGCGTGGCAAAGGGCTCGGCAATGGGGCCTGGGTTTATAAATTTGAAGGCCACATTGGTCATTAGGAATGTACTGGTCAGCAAACTGGCTACCACTGGGTCCTTATCAGTCAGCTGACTCAGCTCCCCTCTGGTTGAAACCATGGCTGTGGAGATGTTTTCTTAGTTTGTTTGTTCTTAAACCACGAGTACTTTTGACCCTTTCCTTGCTGAGCCTGGAAACACCCTGCGCAGCAAAGGAAAAAGAGCCGGCGTGGCCTCCTTTTGGCTGGCGCCGCCAGCCATTTTGCTCCGCTAGCCGAACCCTGAAAATGGCGGTGGGTTAACGGTCTTGTTGGAGAAAAACGGCTTGGTCAAGTGCAGGTGGTTTAAGCATTGTGTCAACACAACTCCACAGCATCACGGATCCCTGTGACTGCTCACTGTGTAGTTCATATATAAACAGCGAAGGCATGAAGGGCCTCAATGAACAGACAGATCAATACCTTGAAAAGCTGGATTCCAGTAAGGGCAAAAGTGTGACTGAGCCCGACTGTTATGGACTCCACCAGGGCTCGATCCCTGGTCTGCGGATTACCACCCGCCAGCTTGCTGTATTTATTTTATTTTTTTGTTTTTGTGATTTTCTTGTTTTGTTTGACTTTGCTTTTGGTTTTCCAATTTCGGACAGTTGGCGCCATTTGCATCCTGGCACCCGTTTTCAAATTCCTCCTTTGACTTTCGGATTTCGGACACTTTGCGCCATCTGGCATTCTGGTGCCCACTCTCAGACTTTCGATTTTCAGTTCTGGCACTGAGGCATTTTCACTTTTGCCCTCAGGACCGTACTTGAGTCCGATACTTAAGTACAGGCTCAAGCACAGTATGGCCAGGAAGTTTTCAGCCTCAGTGCTTGTGTTCAGTGCGACTTGGCTTCGACATTGTGTTCGGGAATTCAAGACTGCGACTTTGCAACTTTTGTCACTTCGTGTTTGCGTGTCGAGTGGTGTCAAGTCTGCGTCGAGTTGAGTGAGCGTGTGTGTGTGTGCTCTCACTCTCCCTCTCTCTTCCAGCCTCGGTGCTCTGCCTCTGCCTCGTCACACTGCTATCGGAGCGGCATCGATCACCCTCCCTCCCGTCCTGATCGATGAGGAGCAGCTTCAACGACGCCAGGTCATCATCGCCATCATCATCTTCGTCATCAACATTGCCACGTCATCCTCGTCGTCGTCATCATCAACGTCGACATTGCCACATCATCATCATTGTTGCCACGTCATCGTCCTTGCTGCCATGTCATCACCGATCCTGAACCGCCGACAACAAGGCGCAGGTACGTTATTTATTTTTTGAATCTTCTTCTTTCTTTATTCTTCCTCCTCGACAACTTTTCTTTTCTTCGTTGCTCCCTCCTTCGTCTCTTCTACTTCCTTTTTTTTTTCCTTTCTCCTCGTCTTCCCCCCCATCGTCTTCCCATCGTCTTCCCCCAGTCGGTCTCTGAAATTGAACATTGGATTCGAAATCGAAATCCAGACGATTTCAATTTTTACAAATCGAAATCGAAATCAATTCGATTTCAATTCGATCCTTCCCGCCCCGACCCAACCCGGATCATCGTCATCATCGTCATCATCGTCATC